CTGCGAGATGCTGTAGATTTATTTTTAAAGTAAAGGAGCTAAACATGATCATCCAATCGTAAAATTTGCTTTGTTATGCACTTGTGTGACGATTGATGGAGACAATAAAAATCCTTGTAAGGTCCTCTGAATAGAGTATTTGTTGCTCTTATTTATGTTTTATGCTACCATAAATGCCCCAGTAAGAGGAATAATAATAAACCTATCTAATATAGGTACATATATAGCCTGATCACATTTTTAAAGGGGTCCATAGATCAGAGGGGGGGAGGGTCGTACGATTATGATAATGACTGTCTTAGCAATATTTTAATTTAATAAATTATTCTTGATTATTTAATGACAATAAGGGATATATTCAGTCTTCAAACCATAGGAAACTAATTTTAAAAAAAATGTTCAATGAAGAGACGAAATGTAGGTTTGGGGCCACTGTATTTTCATTTGGCCTGAGAACATTTTTAGAAGTTCCGAGCCAATGCGCCACTGGGTCTATGGTTCGCTTAGATTTATTAACTGTACCTTTTTGTATTCATCAAATCAAAGATAAATGTCTATCGGAAATATAAAAAAAGCTGGTAAGTGGATGTAGCTCTGCTGTACATCCTAGGTATCTCGGAGGTTTCTGTAATGAATGGTATTAAAATTGAATTCAATGATATCATATATCATTGTATACGAAAAATGATTTTGAGCGGAGACAGTAAGTTCAGTCTAGGATATTTTATATTGTTATTACATATTATTAATATGGTAGCCGGTAAGTAGTATTAACATTATTCTTAAATTATCAGTGATGCTGGAAAAATGTTAAATATACCTATGTAAAATTGGGCTGTTTTGGAACCGAATTACAACAAAATGATAAACGTTATTCTCTGTCAATGCAATTTTATCCATTTTTTCCCTTTATTTGCGTCACACAATCTATACAATTTGAGTACTGCAATAAGTGTAAATGAAAATATAGAAAAACAGACATTGAACATTTGATTTGGGGAAGCCGCCCATTAACGATGACACACCTTATTATCCAAATTTGAAATTAATATGTCTGTAAAAAATAACTGTATTCATATATTTTTTTAGATTTTTTTAGTTACGGAAAAAACTGCTTAAGTGGAACTTTGTTTTCAATTTTCAATCCTTAGCTATGAAATTGAAAATGTTATACATTTTTAACTACAAAATCATTTTCAATTTTTTATTTGATAAATATTGTCAACATTTGAAATTTAAATGCTTATAAAAAAAATTGTTCTATGTTTTTTTAATATATTTTTACTGTTATTGTAACAAGCTATCAAGAGTCTTGTATTAAATTTTCATGCTTTTTCACCAAACCAATAAAATTTTATTGGCATTTATAGAAAAAAAATGAAAATTGAAAATGTCCGTCAACAGCTTAAAACGAGTCATAATATTTTTTTAATTTAACAAGTATATGAATTGATGAAATAAACATTTGGTGTAAATATCAAGTATCTACAGTAATTCGTTTTTGAATTACAATTAAATAAAAAAATCGCTACAAGAGAAATCGAGTGAATATCCAATGTTGTAAAAATTTCAACTTCAAACGCTCATAAAAATTTAGTTTGACTTTCCAGTTGAAATTTTTGATAAAGGTAGACGAACTTGTAAGGAATCTTGTATTAAAATTTTAAATCTTAGATTAAAAAGGAAATTTTTTATGAATTTCTAACTAAACATAAATTGCTAATTTTCGTGATTTTTATGAATTTTGTCAACATTCTAGGTTTAAACGCTCATAAAAAATATTGTGGATTTACCCTCAACTTTATTTTAATTTCCATTAACAACAACTTACAAGGAACCTCGTATTACATTTTCAAGTTTTTTGACAACATTTTTTTATTGAATATTATTTTTATTGAAAAAATGAAAACTATAGGGAATTTTGAATTTTTACTTTCCGAATGCACTAACTAGATTCACTCTCCTACCAGAAAAGTTGCTGTTGAAGAAAATCGAAGCACTTTTATTGCAAGAGATCTCGATGACAGACACAAAAAACAAAAATATATAAAAACACACATCATTGTAAAATTAATTCATTCATCGCTCCGCTCAAAATCTAATAGCATATAATAGGTGAATAGTTGAATGTACTTAATTTAAATAAAAGATTGTTTATAATAAGTAGCTAATAGTTTATTCTTAGCTTTAAATAATTATTTAATAATATTTTGGAATCGAAGGGATGATTTTTTCGTACGTTCTTTGTTATTTTAAACATTCTCCACAGGCTTAACCCTTGTTGACGTTTTCAGATATTCCGGTATTTGACTGTGTACACAATATCGAATACATATTGTTACAGTATCGTACCTGCACACTTATTATACTCCGTTCGCCAAGAGAAAGTGGTTACTTCGCGAATACGAATGAAGCCGAGAAGTGTTGATTTGGGTAGTAGTGGCCTGCTTTGATTGTGCGCAACCACTTACGGTCGGCAAACGGGGAATACTTGTGATGAAAAATAAGTAACATGAAAAAAATGGAGCACTTCGGTAATGTACCTATTTTGCCTATACAATACGCCGGGCAACATATGATGGTATTTGCATCAAATATGTACCTAAAACAATTTATATACCACTACCTAAACAGGTGTATTGTTCGGTGCGTGGCGTTTCCACGGGGATAAATTAAAGCGAAAAGAGCAGTAGTGTGGGCAAAGTATTAGATGATTGAATGGGTTACTATGTATTATTATATTTATGCACCTATATGATGCTTAAGATGGCAAAAATGAGTTAAACATACTATATTACTCAGTTTAATAGAAGTACCTATAAAAAACTAATTGTTAATAGTTATATTGGTGATTAAATTATAAAAATAATATTCTTAGAAATAGAAGCCGGCCCACCGTCTCCAATCAATCGTTTTTCTATGCAGCGACTTAAATTTAACACTTAATTCCTACAATATTAAATGTAATTAAATAATTAAAACGTTTCGATTGTCTCTAAAGTAGGAGCATTTTGTTATTCAACCCTTCATTATTTTTATTACTAACACAACAGTCAATTTCAAATAAACAAACAAAAAGTTACTTTTTTTTGATATTATTCTTGAGGCTACTACGATTGTTAAAAATATTAATTTTTTATTGCTATTATTAATGTATTATTATATTCCCTTACGGTTGGCTGAACTAATTTTTTGCAACAACAAATCGCATATTATATTATATAGAATTTTTTTTAACAAAATCCATTTATATTACTATGTCTCGTCGCACAGTAGATCGGTGAGAGAATAGGTTTGTGTTATAAGCAACTTAAATTTATTCTACTCATTTTGAGAATTTAACTGTGTATGTAGTACTTAAATAATAATAAACAATATGGTGTCTTAGAATAATAATTTATGAATTCCCAATAACAAATTAGGTATACCTAACTATATACTTGATTTTTGGTTAAAATATACAATTTTGTTAAAATGTGTTGTACTAATGTATTTTTGATATTCTTAGGTTGCTGCAAGAACAATTTTATGCGAAACCTTGTATTAAATAAATTGTTAGGCTTTTTTTGAAATATAAACATATTTTTTTTTATCAAACATTACGAAAATGAATGTTAGCGAAGACGGCCAGTCAGCCAATATAACTAATAGTGTATTGTATGATATTTTTGATGTTAATTAAAGGGAGGAGGTGAGAGCATAGTTCCTTAAAATTCAAAAGTAATGATTCGACCATATAAAACTTTATCTTTACCTTTTAAATAGGTAGCCCTGTAGACTGGAACTGGTTTTTTTTGTCCTTGAAAAAATATTGATATATTGTATATTACTAGGACCTATGTTAAAAATTAGTATGCATTACAAAATTAAATATTTGATATTTCTTTTACAAATAATTCTTGGTTCACATTTGGTAACTAGAATTACATTTTGCCTTGATGTAACATTTTGTTTTCTCACTTTAAAATAAATACAACATCAATCATCATTTAAATATAAAAATTCTTATGGTAAGAAAAAATGTAATTTTTGAAATAATTTTAAAATAAAGTGAGTACATACCTACGGGACGGATTATCCGAAATATGAGACAAAAGTGTTATTTGTACTTTTTGCCTGGACTTCATTTAAATGCAGGATAATCCCTTAAATTACGGGACGAATGGGATCTCTAGATTAACCTGTTAATCTGCAATGCAGGATTTAAAATGGTCAAGCATAAGTGGTTAAGGCCTATAAGTTGGTACTGACCAGCCCTCACAAATAGGGAATTAATGTTGAGATTGTGTGTACAAATAGGTAGAGAGCAAAGGATTGGTAAAACTGTTTTTCAGATTTTCGATGGCGGGGTCTGGTGTTACGTCCTATCACCCCTCGAAGGGCTTATGATATATCTGAGCCTTTACGATCATACAAATTCTGGACCACTGAGAGTACAAATCCATACAAAAGCATAGAATAGTACAATTTCAATATTTTGAAAATGGAGGAGATGGTAGGGGTTTGTGGTGTCACCTACCACCTACGTTATTCAATTATTTTTTCATCATCAACATCAAATAGAATAATGCATACAAAATAATATGGTTTAAATTAAAAACCAAAGTCTTTAAGACAAAAAATATTTACAATTTATTAGTCATCGTGTTTATTATACTATAATATTATTAAGTATAAGGCATACAGAAGAAAAAAATACATAACTAAAAATAAAAGAGAGATGAGTGAAATGAAACAATTTTATAGACACAAAATATAATTAAATGTAAGACGACCGCCGACAACACAACGTCTGCTTAAAAAATACAAAATTAGCTAAAATCAACAAAATTAACAATACATTAAAATCTGTGTAGTGTACCGGTGTTGAAATATTATAAAATCGAACCGTTCGACAAACGCGAGTATTTACATATTACATACAAACGGAATAGTTTTAAACAAAAATATACATTATAAAATTATGTAAGCTATTTATATGTTATAAAATACAATATTATGCGGGAAATATATAAATCAATATTTTCATTAGTTTTTTTTTAATATCGCTATGAGTATTAATCAATTTGTTTTTCTAATCAACATAAACGATTTTTGTTTGACTTATTGCAAATATTGCGTCACTAAAATGACTTTTTATGAGTTAATACAGCAAATAGTATTATTTAAATACTATACTGTTGTATTAGTGTTTTAATTTTACATATATTTAAATACAAATAAAAATTTAAAAAAAAAATAGGAATCGGGCTTAAATTTCCTTACATGCAACAATTTGTGTAAAAATAATGTTATATACATAGTAGGTATAATGAATATAAGGAACATACAAAAAAAATATTTCGACTACCCAACAAGAAAATTAAACGCTAGTATGTACATACTATATTGTTATATTAATAATTACTACGATTATTACATTAAAGTTTGAGACTTAAACCTAAATCGAAACGATTTCACAAGTGTTTTTGTATATGTTACATCATAGAAGAATATTATATTACATATATATTGGGAAGCCCTCAAGTAGGTATATGGTTGTAATAATTCAAATCGACTTTTCTCACAACCTTGGACCATAAATATAACGAAGTATCGTCAGTTATGTGGCGTGGTGTGTTTCGCAAGGGAGTCGTCCCGTTCACAATGCTGCTGGCGGGCGGGCGGGCGGGTGGTCGAGCGATATGAAAGAATTCGTGACGTTTACCACATGTTAACTACCTACTACAATCGTATTGTACTGATGTTTTATATAATTTATAATACCCATACAAATAATACACATAAACGCGCCGCGTACTTGACCGGAAGACGAGTATCAAAACGATAACGGTTGTTTGTGATTTGTTTGTTCGTTTGTTGCTTTCTCTCGATCACCCGCCCCCGCCGCACACTCGGCCACGGGACGATCACTGGTGGTGACCATAATATTATATTTCCGAAAATCGACTACCGACAACAATAATCGTACCCGCAACAGTATATTAACAACATCATACCTAATATTACACGCATATAGGTGTGCACGTCGTGTAACGTGCATTGTTATATTATTATATTGTAGGTACCTACATATAGGTAAACGCATCATAACGCACATCCCTTACGGCGAGCGACCGTAGGTATACAGGGAAAATAATATCGGCCATACAATTCGGAATGTGGCATTGTGGCACTTTTGAGTTATCGTCGTCGCGTCGCAGTGGGATGATAACTCAATACTGCAGTATATTGTCAAGGCGAGATATTATATAATATTATAAATCTTACAATATCGTTCATACAGTTCTGTTTCTCCGGACGAATGACCGCGGCCGCCACGGCGCCAAGCGACGGTCGTATACAAATCATATGCATATAATATGGTGTACAACCAACATATTTGGTTAGGTTTTATTTTTATAGACTCACTATATTATTGTCCGAGCCCGGGTTTATTATTATGGAATAATAATATCAAACGCCCGAACGCGCCACAGTGTTAACGGTATTCACGACGAGGAACACTGCAAGTTTTCAAACTGAAGGAGATGTTGTAAACAGTATTAAAAAAATATAATAAATGCATTGTGACATGTTGCAGTGTAGTAAAAAGGCTAAAGATAGCCGCAATTTTGTTTTTCTTCATATTATCCACGCATAGTTGTTCACGTCCGATTTCCAGAAATACCTGTTATGTGTAGTAGACTTGGCGGTTTTCGATTTGTATAGTATTGTTTATTCTGCTATAAATCTTCACTTTATCATTAGTGTAGGTAAGTGTATGGCTGTATCTATACGTTAAAGTTGCCAGAACAACTCTTGCAGGACTTCCGTCCGTGGCTGTAGATACTATATCTACAGCTGCGCTTCCACCCGATGTCTGCCAAAGATGATGATATGGTGTATAATCGACGGATTGCGCCGGAAATTCGAAACAGAAAAATCAATTAAAAATGCGAACGTGTCGACACTGATATGTGCAGTTCAACGCAACTAATGCAGGTATAAACGTGGCGGGTTGTGGGTTTTAGGTGGCGGAGTTGTCGTCCGGATAGAAGAGAACGGCGAAAAGTCTTCGGGGAGTGGTGGGTCATCCTGGGGTGATCAGTACCACGTGTAGAACGGCGGATGAGTCTGTCGGGGCTGGTAGTAAGCAGCCGAAGTGGGGCTCATCTGGCCTCCCATGCAAGCGGTCGGTATGAGTGCGGGCTGTGGGCTTATCCGGGCCGGATTCATGGGCGGCATTTGATGATGTCCGCCTACGCCGCCGCCGCCGATGCCGAGGCCATGGTGGTTGGCCAGCGCCGACCAGCTGGACGGGCTCTGCATGGACACCAGTTCGGACGACGACACTGTGATTAGGCTGTCCCCACCGTTCGCTCCTGTCAACAACGCACACAAATCCAAATTTAAGTACAGGTAATGGGTATATAGATAATATTTTATTATTTACATAGATTAGGAAAGTTATTGGTACAACATGTGTCCTGTGTAGCTATTATTCCGTTGAGTATGGTATGGTCGGTAATCGGTACAGGTAGGTATATTATAAAACGTGAAAGACACAATGTAATTATTACACTCATCAGTTGATTAATACATTTTAATGTACAATTCGAATCAATTTTTACCCCCTTTGAAAAAACCAGCTTTTCCCACTACGTAAAGGTATCCCGAAAAATTCGTGTTATAATATATGAGTCAAGGTAAAATGTCTTAAATGAGAAGGTTCGCGAAAATCAAAAATAATACTATTAATAATAGTAATAAATAATACTCCACAGGCTTGTCTGCGTGGAGATGTACTCGCGTTCACACATGACATATGGAATAAAATCATACTATAAAAAAAACATGACGACTACTACTGGTACAGCCAGTACGCCCGGCGCCCCGCCCTCATATGTAATTATTCAGTTAAAAATCATTAAACTTGTTGTAAGCGTCCAAGGTGCGTCCTTATATACTAAACAGAATCAAAAATGGCAAATTACTTTCATTACAATAATAATAAATTGACCCGCCTAAAACAATATTTAAGACGATATATGTATTAATGTAAACGTAACTACTATACATTGACTAGCAGGACGGGTGACGTCACTTTTTCAAAGTATAGGTTGTGGGCTATGGTATTTTATCAAGTCCGTCTAATGATAAATTAGGTTTGTCGGATGATTACACCATACACGACATTTTTTCGGCGTTGGCTGTTATCACTAGTTAGCAATCTAGTTTATTAGCTAAATCTGTGCAGCCAGGAGAACTAGAGAATAAAGGTGGGTATACTGATATTTGACTTACCGTTCGATTGTCCCATGAGTGTGATGTTGGCCGACACCGGAGACAGCTGATGGTGAGTGATCATCGTGGGAGCCGAGTTGGCAGACGCCGAACCGATCTGATAGGACTGCGAAGCGGCGGAAAGTAAGTTCGGCGACGAGGCCTGGTGATGGCCACCGCCCTGACCGATGTGCAATTGTGAGAGCTGACCACTTCCATTTAACTGACCCATCTGTAAGACGAAATAAAATATAAGTAATGTGTTATACTTTAATTGTTGACCAAATACGATGTATATATATAGGTGAAGCAAGGGATGTTGGTATTTAAAATCGTTCTACTGGTATCAGTGATATTACCGGTTATAAGGTATTTTCGGTGAATCTAATACAGTCTTTCCAGCCCAGAAAAATGAAATATTTATTTTAAAAATTATGTTTGTAATTTATTATTTTTTGAAATAAAAAGGTTATAAAATATTTTTTAATACAGCGGGAGGGAAGCTTTTATGAAAATGAAAAAGGGCATTGAATAAAAAGGAAGGTTTTAGTTCTAAAAACCGTTCTACATCAGAGTTCCTAACCTTTTTTGAGTCGCGATTCGTTATGACATATTATACTTTACAAAGTACGACGACTGTCGACGGATCATATATGTCCGTATGTGGTTTAAACACTACACCAAAAATAGATTTTCCGATATCTAGGACAGACTTCATTATTCGATATTTTACTATTAATTACTTTGGCACGGTATATTTGGTAACAGCGATGATTATAGAACCACGGTATACCGGTATTCACAAATACCGAAAATACCAGCAATTCCCTGTATGTCGAAAATATCACCAGCCCTGTCTGTCCAGCTGAACGGGATGATGTAACGACATCGAAAAGCGTTATTTATTATAATAATATACAACGACGGTTAGCGGCGACCGTAGATGATAATATATCGTAGTATCGTACTATGATAATACAAAACAGATATTATAATGACGCGGCTAGACCGGATCTATATTCTATACACAACGATAAATGCTTATCGTAACATATTTATAAGCATAGGTATATAACATTATATGTATACCGCGGGCGGCGGGCGTCCGTCACCGCAGCACGATTATATATATTATATTATATACGGTTATAAATAACTCAGCTACCCCGCCGGTAAACGGTGTCACCGCGACCAAGACCCTTTTTACGACGTCCTCGCAGCCTGCCCGGTCGGACGTCATGAAAACATGTAATTATATACAAATGATATACGTATATAATAACACGAGTGCATAATAATATTATAACCATGACGGCGGCGGCGGCGGCGGCGGCAGTACGTTTTTCAGAGAGAAACCTATTACCACGTGCGTATCCCGTTGTATACAATAAGATACCTAAAGTTCTATCGATCATCGCGATAAAATTGACACATTTTATTATTATTGTTGTAGGTGCCAACCACATACAGACCCACAACAAGCCAAACAGCGGTGACGTCGGCAATATGTATATGTATATGTATAACAACAAATTAAACGTATGTAGATAAATCGTATATTATGACGTATATATGTACATTTTATACTGCAGGAATCGTCGAAGGGATTCGAAACCGAAATGATCGAAAACGATGGTGGCGGTGAGTTGGGATGGATACAATTTCGAAGATAATGTTTATGAAAGTAAATCTGTGTAAAAAAAGGTGTATGATAATTTATATTACAACTATTAACTCTCTATAAGAGCACCCTCAAACTTTATTACGATGTGTAGTTATACGAGAAGGTTTAATTAATATCTGTACGGCTTTTATGTGCATATATTTTTGTATACCTCCTATTTTTAAAAAGATTTTTAAATGATCACTGTGATAATGAGGAGTGTGATGAGATGGATATGGAGGTGGGGGGTTGTGTATGGCGGGAATCATATTAAATTACGACTTTTTGGCCGAACGAAAACTTACTTGAGAAGTGAGCAGTGACGAGGTGGACGTGTAGAGCGGCGTGGTCGGGTAAGTACCACCCGTAATTCCTATGTACGAAGTGGCCGTGGCCGCTTCGGTGCTGATGTTGCTATGAGGCCTGTTATCGTGGTCGATTAATGACGTGGCACCCAGACCGCTGTACATCATGCTGTTTTGATGATGTTCGTCCTTGATCATCTGCTGTTGTTGCTGCTGCTGCTGTTGTTGCTGTTGCTGTTGCTGCTGATGATGATGATCGTCAGTTTCTACACATAAGTTAAAATAATGATTTATTAGATATCACAACAGCTGATGAACACAAATCAGTATATTATCGTATGTGATGCAAGTTCGAATTGACCAACTACGTATATACTAACTACTAAATTATGTTGGTACTTTGTACAAAAAAAAAAAACACGTCAAATTGTAGTATTGTAGTAATAGTTATAGAATAGTTATATATAATAAAATTATAGTAGGCCCCTGTAAAATGAATTAGTTTCTTAACTCATTAGTGCATCTATAAAGGGATGTTAGAAAGTAAATACTTTTTAATGATTTTGGAGAATTTTTCAGCACTTAAAATGGACATCAGATTAGATTAATGAAATAAACAAAAATATATTTTAAAATAGTGCATAGTATAGTTTGCACGATCCCTCGTACCTTTGTATCCGTCCGGCGTCGTGTTGTACGGTTCGTGCAACTGTTGTGGCGACATTATGTAAGCGGGCGTGGATGATGAATTCGGGCCTGACGACTGTTGCTGTTGGTTCTGTTGCTGCTGAGCAGACGGCGAGTACCCGAGGGCCAATCCCATGCCATAGCCACCGGAACCTGGAGTGGAACTTCCGGTGTTGCTAGACATTTGCTTTCTCAGTCTCGCACGCCGATTGCTGAACCACACCTGTAGAAATACGCACTGTTAATGATATGATTTGCAAAGGTGAATATAATAAATGCTATAGCGTATAAGTATTTTAGCGATGGCCGACGGGTCACGATTTGATGAAAAAATTGATAGCAATTTGAAATTTTAATTTCCAATGTGTACAACAACTTTGGATGGTGTACGTTTATAGTGTGATTAAAATAAAGACGTAATAAGTATATTAAGTCTACTCTACTCTACCGTAAGTACCTCATAAAAGAATTGTTTAAAATTATGAAATATAAAATCATTCTTTTTAAAAATATTTTTGATTAAACATTTACCTAATTCTTATAAAACCATTTTCATCTTTAGTTTGAACCTAACCTTGAAATATAACTTCATATATTTTACATTGCCCGCCGCCTACATTGGGCATTCTATACATTGTCCGAGAATTTTATAAAATGGCCATTTTTCTACTTTACTGGTAACGTATAAATTCGTATAATATTATCACCTGTATTCTGGCTTCGGTCAGTTTGGTGCGCTGGGCTAACTCTTCTCTGGTGTAAATGTCCGGGTACTGGGTGCGTTCGAACGCCTTTTCTAGTTCGTCCAACTGCAGCGCAGTAAACGTGGTCCTGCTGCGGCGCTGTTTGCGTTTTAACGGTATACCCGGTTCTGAATCGCAGTCCGAACCATCTGAAGTTTTGCCTGTACAACATATTATAACGAGCGAAGATGAAATATTGGGCGAATCTAACCAATTACAAAAATAAAAAACAAAGTGTCTGTATCTGTACGAACGCGTTGTCTTATATTTTCTAGTCCACAGAAAGCGATTTTATGCCACACACTGCAATTTTATCACAAATTAGGCGCAATAGGTGCAATTCAAATGCAAGTTTTTACGTTGCTATTAAAATTTTTTTTTCATTATTTGAAGCACTCATAAAAAAATGCAATTTGCGACGTTATAGTTAAGTAGTTTCAGCTATTTGGAAGTGTACTTGTGTAATAACATATTTATTAATGAAATAAATCATCAATTTGTTGATTTTTAAATTTAACTAATCTAGTAATTGTCCAAATTCTTTATCGTTATTGTGATACACGATATAGATTTATTCAAATTTAAATCCAAAATTACTATTTATACTTATATAATATATTATGAATTGTTAGAGCAAAACAATGTATCAATAACAGTAAAGGTTACATTTTGTTTCATTCACTCAAATATAGTACAACGTATAGAGAACTAAATTCTAAACTACTTTTATTTATTTTAACGATTTAGAATTTAAGTGTTTCATATAGGCTTGCTAATTATGAATTATAATATAAAAATACCTATATCGTTTATATCAATAGTACGGACAGCATCTGTGATTAATAAGACTGCTATCGAACATATTTGATAATTTAGGTATCCGTTATCAAAGATTTATAATCATTGCGATGAGTCTATGAACACCGAAAAAATATGTAGGTACATAATAATTATTAGGATTTAAACTCAAGTACTTACTTTAAAAATGTGCTAAATGTACCTACTACAAAAAAATATGCACTTATCTAAATTTTTTTCGATTTGCATACATTTTTACATTAATATTATACTGCATGTCTGCATTTATTATAAATTACATAAAATAGTAATATAATTCACCATACTTCCACCTACAATACATTTGTTATAGAAACGTATAGGCACGTATAATAACACTGTTACCATGGTATTTTAAAATAATTACGGTTTTCGATAAACCTTGTTGGTCATGAAATCATGACATAGCCATACAATTAAGATCTCAAATCACTTTTCATATTTATTATGTTATTTTAATTTTAAATTTAATCTGCTCTCTAATAAATAGAACGCAAACTAAATATGCAAAAGTGTCTGTATTCGATTAAAACTTTTGAAAACATACCTAGAAAATCAATCTAAGGAGCAGTAAAAAACACGCAAGAGCTACAAAGCTTGAACTATTTTAATGACAATTCGTCAAATAACATTGGTCATTCGAATGATAGGATAGTAAAAAAAGAAACGTTTATGAAACCCGAATGTAAAATTAATTTCATGGAATGAACTTATTAATATACAAACAATATTATTACACATATATAGATCATTGAAAACGAGCAAGGGTTTTTGAGCAACTGTACATATATTATTATTATTATTATTATAAGTAGGTATACCATCCGACTAAACGTATGCCGAGACGAACACACACACCACAACAGTTAAGGATTCGAACGTGTCGGATGACTGAAGTACGTAATTTCGACAGACCGCAACGATTGGGTTACACAAAGAGACCGACCGGCGGCGGTGGAAACGAACATATTTTGCCAGCGATCGCTTGTTTTTGTTTTATTGTGTTTTTGTGATGCATTATTAGTGTTTACGTGTGTGTAGATGAGATGGGAAAGAAAAAAAGGAGGCGCTCTGTTCCAGGTCTCGTATATGGTCGCACGTCACGGGCGGCGGAGGGAAACGAAAAATCATTTTTCATAATTATTTAGCAAAAAAACTTCGTTGTGGGTTTTTGGCGGCGTCGAGGCGGCATGCGGTCACACAGAATCGAAGGCGCTTACAAACCGTCGGCGGCGGTCCAAAACCCAAAACCGGGTAATGGTTTTTAAAATAACAATAACGCTATAAGACGCTGCACGTCGTCGCGGCGGGTATATTATCATTACTATTATTGTTATAATATTATATTGTGGATGGATGAATGTGCTAATGACGTTTGCGGTGCGAGAATCGGTTTTTCGCGATGCGAATACGAGTCGAAGACGATGATTGTATACAAATCTATATAATATGATGATATTTTGTATCGACACACAATTTGTAAACGACATTAAAAACGACCGTCAGGTGTGTGAGACCAAGGCAAAGTGAGTGCCGCCGCCGCGCGTTCGGCTTATATAATGCCGCCCCGCAGGTAATGTTCAAAAATAAATTGATACCTATCGAACAATATTATTATATTTTGTAGTGATTTGTACATAGAGAATTTACAGATACGAAGTGCATCATATTTTTTGGTCGATAGCATTTGTCTAAAGCCGTTATCATCTTATCGACGAACCCCCTCCCCCCGTAAGCCATGCTCAACAATAACAGCTGTATGTATATTGTTGTAGTTTTATTTAATCTTCGACTACTGGACGAGTTATGAGATTGTATCAGGCATCTAGTAATTATTTATAAGCAAAAGGTTTTATGGAAATGATCTCATCGTTTCCTCAGATTATGTACCATATAACATAAATATACTTGGGAATGGTCGATTTTATGTTGTTGAATTTCAAACGCGTGTATTTTAAATTAAAAATAATATTGTCTCAATAAATCGATTTGTCCAAATTACGTACAACAGTTTTAGTCAATCTCTAAAATATTTTGTTATAGGTACTTATATAGTTTCTTTACGAGGCCGGTAAACTATATCATAATAATCACAATTTTATAGTTGTTCAGGAGTTTTGCGTTTTCTACTGTTGGTAGGTAATAGGTATCTGTACAATATAATTCGTTGATTGGAAAGAATACAAATATATGTTTTTAATGGGTTTTGAACGAAACCATATCTTATATCAATCATGTTTTCGACTTGTGTGGCTTATCTTTTCAATACCACTCAAAAGCTATTGTTTTGTGTGATTATATGACGACGTGGTCACTAAAATTTTTTACTACGACAATTTAAATATCCCTAGCTCACATATTGAAATTATAATAAATGTTTAACGGCGGAACACTGCAGGAATAGAGTATGCCGTTTCCATTCCATCAAAGTCATACACTCATACTCATATATGTGTGTGTATATATACAGTATACACGTCTGAACGAATGCCAAACACAATAAAAACTGTTTTATTATCGCTTCATTAGAGGAGAACTAAGAAAGAAAAAAAAATCGGTTTCGCAAATGTGTTGTCACGGCCACAATATTAACGATTTAAAAAAGTATCAAGTAGAAAAAGAAACTGTGCTAAGAATAATTATTAATGGACTGTCGAACTTTCAGTTTAATATCACAATTCCAAGTTCTAATACTTAGTAAGAATTTTAAATTCGGCGAATAATTTATGGATATTTCATATAATTGTTTGAATTTTAAAGTATGTAGATGATTTTATGATGAATCATGAATGATGATTAATACTTTTCAGTAACATAGTCAATATATATTTCATTAAGCATAAGACAGATTTGAAAGATCGTATCAGTAATATTGAGCATAAAGTAAAAGTGACAAAATGTATAATATACAGTGACAAATAATGAGTACACTATGAAATATATCTTCAACAGTCTCGTATTCAGTTTCCATTCGAATCATATCTTTACTCTTTAATAATTATAATGAATTGTAACGTAAACATGTATATTTAATGTGTAAGTATAGTTGCCGACACAAAAATAATATGCAAAGTGCGTGAATATATACTATATTATACTTTTAAAAGATAGAAAAAACTTACCGTCGCTAACTTTTTTTTCCGAAGCAGAATCATCACCATCGTGGCCTCTTAAAAGTCTCGATATTGCGCTGATAGACGGGGCGCTCCCTCGGTCACACAATCCTTCTCTAATCAATCTGTAAAAACAAATTAAATAACATAGAAAATCATTGATACCACGATTCATAGCATAGTTTAATTATTAAAATTAAGACGCGTATTTGCTCCCTGGTAAAACTATTGGTGTATATATACTTAATACTTTATTTCATATATTTTCAAGTATGAACATTTTATTCACACCCACGTACTCTCGATTCTTCGCTATAGTGTCGATGTATATAATACTATATACAATTATTGATTTAAGTATTGGGTAGTATGTATGTACCTACAGTCTACACAGCCATATAGGTTCATAATAGCTTTGCAGTATTGGAGATTTTATAAAACATTCTCAAGTTATTTTACTTCGACTACCTACAGGGGTTTTGAATGAAATCCATGTACTAGCTGGCCCTCCTACCGTGTTTAAAAGAATTGAAGTACTGTAAGGATTATATTTTTGTTCAGAGATTAAAAAAAAAAAAATAAATAATAATAAATACGTAATAATAAAAACGAAAGGAACGAATTCAAAAAGCAAAAAAAAAAAAACGGTAACATCCCCCTACTGTGGTAGTATTATAATAATACCGGTAGAAAACTGTATCGAAATGAAAAAAAATCATAAAATAAAATAGGACACACTTGAGAGTATCATAAAAATAAGAAATAACGATGTTCATGGAGAGAGGGCCGAATATAATATTATAAACGCATACAGCCGTGTTACAGTGTATTATAATATTGTTACATTATGATAATAACATCGAATAATTGCGTAATAACTGAAAACAATTGCATTGCGTAACCAATAAATATAGAGGAAAACAATAGACCGAGTGGACATTTGTAACGTTATGTAATGAGAATAACTTGCGCTGTAATCGGAAAGGTGTTAGACGTTAGTAGACTGCAACACGTGTAATTTCGGAAGGGATGATATGTAATAAGTATATTTTATTACAAAAAATCCGGACCCGAAAAGTTCCTATACTACTGCAAGCATCTCGGAAAAATATATATTATTATTTAGGTACTATCTTTAGGAACCTATATAATGTAATAGTTTTTTCATACACTGAATATTTGCATGTTACATACATAGAGAGGAATTTAGGATACTATTATAGATACTATATATTTTAAAACATGAATTTATATTACATACACATCATATCTATATGCACATATTATACCCAACGGACGGTCGGTTTTTATGTTTAAGTAGTTGACAAGTGTAGATATAAATTTCAGACTACTTTAAGAAAGCATTAATTTATGTACGGAATTTTATTGTTGTACGACGTCTTAACAAGCATGAAATAGCCAAGCAGTGCACACAAACTGGACTACCTAACAATGCGATCGAGAGAAAAAAATGTAAGCTGAATAGTGACAAAAAAAAAGAAAAAGGACCCAAAGGTCATATTCTGGAACCGTTATTTATGGCTCTGTATGCATCAAATATGTATAGTATGTAGGTATATACCATATATTGTATATGTAGCGGCAGCAATCCTATACATAATAGTATGAGCCAGTTTATAGTCAATAAATTTAAATGCCCTTCAGTGAGTTGAAAATTGATGTTTAAAGGGTGCAGCAAGGGTAAAAAGTCTTGACCCTATATATATTTTAAAAGAAAAAAAAACATCCCATTGACAACTGATGATTGTATTAAGTATACATACATATAGTGTGTGGATTTTATGTCTTGTTTGGGAAAAAAACCACCGAGCACGCGTCCCTTTTATAGAATATAAAATAGGTATAGTACATTTTAAAACTAATAAACCAAAATCATTGACGTGTAGTTATATTTTCTTCTATACAAGAAAAAGAGTTCCGTTTGAAATTTTAAGAGAAATACGTAAACACTAACCTTTTATTATCGTGATATTGGGCGGGCTCATTGTCATTTCTGAAACAAAAACGGGATCATTCTTAGAGCTTTATTCAATTTGAAACACAGCAAAGAAATCACTTAAAAACTTAATAACACAAATTATACTTAATACACATTAATACGGATCAATGAATATCTATAAACATACGCCCTTAAACATTTTTCGGTACATAAATGTAGGTATAATATATTCAAGAGGTGAAGAGGCAGATTATAACCCTCCGGAGAAAGCGAGGTATTAATATATAATATGATGTACCTACTATTTATTTGTATTACATTGTCATAGCGTTTATTTTACATTCTACAATTTGTGCGGCGCCACTGTACCAGTCAAAATAATAAAAAAAAAATGAAACGATGTGCAGGTTCAATGGGCGTGTACGGGTAGAGTTCACATATTTATTAATTTATCGTCGTTTTTATTAACTGCACGTTTACAAGGTAGGTAGGTATAGGCATATAACTCTACAGCAAAATACTGATAGAAATAAATTTCTGTATTAGTCATATGTTCCAAAGTATTGATTTATTATTATATAATATTAATTGTCCTGTGAGTTTATTTGATATGCTATTGTTGTTAGCTCTGCAATTTAGACTTATTGTGATTGGATGATGATGGTGTTACTAATAAGTTATCGATTCCCTAAAATAAGTCATGTTATGTATGTAAAGGGTAGGTATAGGTAATTAGGTATATCTATAAAAAATATTGAACATCAAGATGAAAAAGGTCACTAAGCAAATGATATTTGTGCTACATTGAAACTAGGTTTTTAAAAAGAATCATATAGGTAATACACAAGACACATAAATACATAATATTTTGTACCTAGTCAAAGCGTTTGATTTTTAAATTATAATTATTTAAATTTTAAATTATCAACATTATTTTATTAAACTATTAGTAGATATAATATGTGTGTGAGTGTGTGTGTGTGTGTTATGACAATAGATACATCCTTATTATAGTTATTAAATAGTTATAAATTAATGTTTTTGGATTCTCGACAAATAATATAATAATATGTTACCTAATATACATTTACTATAAGTATAGGTATATTTGGTACGGCTAATTATAAGTTATAAATGATGATATGTACTACGAAAAAATCAACATAGTATGCCAAACTTGTTTAAATTGTTCGTGTTGAATTATCTACTATAAAGCATTATTTGTAGGTATAGTGGTATATTAAATATTAGTCAATGAATACCTATAACTAATAAGAAATAATACCGCTGCGGGAGAGATCAAAGAAACGTAAATCGATCAATAACACATAGACAGAACCAAAGAGATTTTTTTAATAATGCCTAAACATTTTTATGGGAAAAATTTATCAGTTATCTTAATGCACAAATATCAAATACACCTATGTATATAGGTTATACCTAATTAAAATTAAATTAATATTTTGTACTATTTTCAATAATTCTGCATTAAATGTTGTATACAGCAAACGATGTTTAGAACTATATCTGAACTATATAACAATATATTAAAACATTGGTCGGGATGACTTTGGAAATCTGATTTCGTGCCGGGGCAAACGTGACGCCGACGTATTGCATTATTTAAAATTTGGCGTGTTACCTGTGTCTGTGTGACATATCATGGGTAAGTAGGTACTTACCTAATGGGTATTCATGTTTTATAATATAGTATATTTGAGTAGCATCGAACTTTAAAAAAAAAGTACTCAGACTGTTTAACCTAATATCATTTTAACTGTTATAAAGATATATAAGGGGGTTAACTTAACATGTAAAAGACACACTTAAATGTTACTTTTACAAGACAATATAGTGTCTTATGCGAGTTAAACTTATCACTTGTTCATATGATATATTAATATAACACGATGAAATGATAGACTATAATGAATGCTTGTAATTAATCGAAATTTATTATGTTCTGCTATTGTGCCTGTAAATTGATAACAGCGTTTTGGTCGTTCATGATAATTAATTTAATTATTAAATTTTCTAAAATACCAAACGCATAGGTGTATCTCATAAGATTCCATGTTTACTTTTATACGTGTGTACGTTATTTATAATATAATATTAGAATGGGATACAGCTTATTACATTATTTTATTATGTATATATTATAAATATGTTAAGTAATAAGTATTTAATATATTGTGTTATGTAAGGTATACCTGTCACGAATTTCCCAGCTGAAAATTCCGGGATTTTCCGTCTTATACTCCTCGATGCGACGCTCCACGTCCGGCGTGGCCACTCTAGGCTTGCTGCCGCCGATCACGCCCGGCCGGATACTGCCAGTCTCCTGGTAGCGATTCAGGATCTTCGACACGCATCCGTGTGACACGCGCAACTGTCTGGATATGACGCATGGTCGCACGCCGGCCGCGGCCATTTCGACGATCTTCAGCCGGATGTGGTTGGGCAAAGGCCTGCCGTTGATAAACACGCCGCCTAACTGGTTAACCCGGCCCTGGCCTGCGGAAACACCACACACGCACGGTAAATAACGGAATGACATATAATACCATATACCTATTACCTATAATATATATATATTTATATATAGGAATCTAACGTATAATATTTAATATCATATATATTACGCATTATGGATGAGTACTGAGACTATTTAGAGATCTCGGGGATCCTCAGTATTTATATATATATATAAGATATAAAAGGTATATAGTGATATATACTTTATATATTAGAGATAAATCCTGTATGTGGTTTTTTACGGTAACCTAAAAGATTTGAAACTTTTTTGGGTTCACTTCACCACCCCTTATCGTGCCTTTGATTTAGCTGCATGTTTATGTGGTAATGACTGATGAGTATTTCATTTCAGCAATATGTTTATCAGGCTCCTCATGTAATGTACAACATTTAGGTTGTATAGATATTTTTATACCTACATATATTATAGTTTATGGTCAGGGAGAGTTATACACAAATTCAACGTTGTATATGATATTATACATACCTAACTTACTTATAGTTATTTTGAATTTTAAAGATAAATTTCACGTAATTGATAGAATGTTTTTTATTTTTATTTTATTTGACTCAAAACAGTTGATTTCAATCCAATATGTAGTTATTTACCCAAAGTGAAATGTGTAATGTATTATAGGTATTAGGTATACGTAACCTAACCAACATGCGCAACAATTTGAGTAACATTAGGTCACGTCACCATAGTATAATAAATACTGCAGGATCCCTCTGTAAAACTACTTTTTGTCATAAGAGTTTAGAAAAGTATCAGGTCGACTGATATGATAGTTTTGTATTGAGATTTACTATATTATGAACTGCAGGACATTTTATATAAACTTGACACTGCTATAAGCCCAAGTATTGCAATGCTGCAGCTCCCACCCTGCTGCAGTACACATGAAGAACTGCAGCAATTGAACGAGTTCAGATGAGCAGAGATATAATATCAAATTATATACAGAACAGTAAAGATCAATATCATAAGTAATATGTATATATAAATATTTAATATACAAAGCGACAGTCGATTGATCACGTTAAATGCTAGTATCGCGACCTATATTATATATTAATTTCCCGCTCACGTGCAACGTATAGCTGGCGTAAAAGTATATGATATAATGTTTAAAAATGATTATATATATTGTATTATATATAGGTTACTTGCCTTGAAATGGGTATCCGGTAAAACAGGGCCTCATCATGCCGTAATTGGTAACCGTCATATTTTCGTAACCGTGCAGTGAGAAACGTTTGTAAAACAGACGAACATCGAAAAACGAAACTAGTGAATGTCTTATTTGTAGGTTTAAGATATTATATTGAAACAAAAAACAAACAGAAACAAACAACTTGAAAATGTATCAACGAAAACACGCACAAAAAATGTATACGAAAAAAAGATTGGTACACTCGCGGGAGGTATGTTATTAGATAATGTTTATAAAAATAAAAATAGGCATTATTATTGCATACCTATGTAATGTGTATATTAATATAGTATAGTTAATATAACAACAAAAGCGGCAGAAATCGTCGGACGATATTTTTTCTCCGTGATGTGTGTATAGTAAAAACGACGGTGACGATAATATTTTTATACCCGGGTATTGCTAAGTGTAATATCGGTGTACGACGAGATATTTGTACCGAACGCACGAAACGCCGCCGCATTGGTGTCCCGAACAAGACTGGATCCGGGGTTCCAAGGCACCGGCCGTGTGGGGCGTGCGGCCCGTGCCCGCGGAGGCGTGTAGTGATCACCGTCCGTCCGCTGCCATCGACCAATGGCAGCCCGCCGCCGGAGCGCGTAGTGTGAGATTTCCCCCCCGTTTCTGGTGCGTTATATTATTGTGTTTTTTTACCCGCCACCGTTTGCCCCCACCTCGCGGGAACGGTTACCTCGACCACCATCGTATGTTAACCCGGTATATAGAATAATATTTCTTAATATAATAATAGGTATAAATAATAATATAATATGTGTTAATACCGCGTAAGACGTATATATATACATATATATATATAGGCTCATAATATGTATGATGTATCTATTTACGTTCCCACACCGCTATAATAGCTGAGCCGCGGCTATTTTTATAGTTAGGTACATGAAAATTAAAAAATTAGGAAAACGCGATATACGCCATCATCTATTCTCCAGTGAATGGTGGAGACAGTAGGTAGTCGACGTTTCTATATATATATATATACACCACAGTATGCACGTATGTATTGTATTTTTCTGAAATCTAAAACACTTTAATACATAGGTATCTATGATGTTATGTAACGCAGCACTGCACGACACGCGCGACAAAGATTTCGAATTTCACAGCACGCCGCACGCGACGAGAAATACGCATATTATAAACGCTGCGTTACTGCGGTAACGTAAGTATAGGCGGTAGGTCGGTAGATACCCGAAATCTGAATACCTCTATAGGATCCAGGTAATAATTTAATATTTACTTAATTCACCCATTTTTATGCATTATAATATCTGTGTATAATAGTACAATTATTATTGGTACCTATATATATATATATATATATATAGTGCCTAGCTACTACACATATTTTATATATTATTATGTACCTAAGGTTTAAAAAATAATTCGTATATATGACAGCCGATATAGTCATATAGGTATATCATAGATCACACATGGGTATTCAAGTTTATATTTGTTAGATATGAGTATGAGTGTATGCCGTAGGTATACTATTAGATTATAGTAGTTTCAGGTAGCACATCATACATTTACATAGGAGGTGTACAATATTTATTATGTACTTACCTATAATTTAGTTAGAGAAATCATATTAAGAACCTAATACCCATCTCTATACTGTATTAATAATTCCTATAGTATAGGTTTAACTAGACTTTACCAAAAGTGACTATAGCTACTTTATCAGTAGGTTTAAGCACCTATTTAATTTTTACTATAGAAAATGAATACCTGTATAGTTTATACTATATATATTCGTCATGCTATTATGATGATTTATGATATGTAGTAGTAAATGTCGATATTACGTAATGACTAATAATAGTTTATTGGTGTACCTACTACCTATAGTGAAGTATTCATTTTATACAATTAGTTGTTTTTACTAACACACCCATGCATAATTTTAGGTGGTTCAGCGTTTTCAAGATTCAAATACACCACATCTTATACAGTTAAGTTATACCTATACATATGAACTTGGGGTTACTTTAGTAATCTATTTACCTCGTTTTAATGCACAAATTAAATATTTATATGCATCATAATTATTTTGTTTTCCATATTTTCTAAATTCTGCATGATATAATATGTATAGGTCGGTTAGCTATACATATTGTATTTATATGAGATCTAGCTGTAACATCGGAACCTTCGAGTTATTCAAAACAAGGTTTATATCCTTTATTAAATAAAATATGTTAAATCGTGTGAGTTTGATGCATATAATACCTAATATTGAAGGACTTAAAAAAGTATACACTAAGAAAAACGTATTTTAAAAGTCTATATATATACCTATATAATAAACATGGGATATGCGTTTATATAATACATGTGATGTAGTGCGCAGTACTTATATAGGTATATATCTACCTATATGTATATGTAAATTATACATTATATACTTACATTTGTATAATGACGTTCTCTTATAACACTTCTGCCAGCGCGGAGGTGGTAAAATAATCAAACAGGCGAGTATCTATATAATAATAATAAGAGAAGTAAAAAAAAATGTAAAAAATAAGAAAAAGATTTATAAGATGAAATCTGGCAGTAAAAAAAAAAAATAAAAAATGGTGGATCGTGACGAATCGAAAGTAAGGACTTTCACGGGAAACGAAGCCAAACAAAAGGTTTTGAGATGTTCAGCGGACCGTGCACGCATCGAGTGCAGCGCTCAATACCACACAGCCCGACAACTCGTACCATTTTTTTTTCTCTACTCTTTGTAGCCCATTATAATACCTACCAAACTATAATGGTCTAATGTATTATATAGCCCATTATTATTAGCCTATGTTCCCTTTACCACTTTATAATGATATTACGCCGAGAAAGTGTAGATATTAAATTATATATTAGGTATGTATATATTATGGATATCGCGTAGGTCAGCAGCATGGTGAGTGTTGTGTGGACGGATAACTCGCGAACCTTATATTATATGCTGAACACGAACGTAGGTAGGTACTTGCAGGCGTGAATGTCGAATTGTTATAGTTTGGGCTTTGCCAAATGTGCGTGTAGGGTGGCACATTCTTTCTTTTTGTGCTCTCTTTTAATCCCGGATTGATTTATGTTTCTGATGTAAGTTGATTTTTTTCTTCGGTAAACAAATGTAATTCGCAATTTTTTTTAACACAAACAACCTATTTTTTTCCCTCCCGCTGTGGATTTTGAAACACCATACAAACCTTACAGCTATACACGCTTCAGTATATTATACTCCTTTTGATTTTTTTTTTTTTATTCACTATTATATATTTATATGTATTATATTGTGCCTTTTGGGTCGCTATATAGTTCCATTTAGAAAAAACTCCCGTGATGACAAATTGCTCGAACCACCCAAGTCGAGAGTTACGCAAGAAATCTGCGAAAAAGGCAAAAAAAAATATATTTTTAGCCACGTGCAGAATTGACCTTGCATATGGTCACCCTTGTGTTATTTATACAGTGTATTTTTTTTTGTAATTTTTAACAACGCGTTCTATACGGTACACTAGCTGTATATTATAAAGTATATCATATTATTATAAGAAATATGACTTGAGGACAAATTGTTGGTATACAATATTATACATAGCATATTTTATATTATATATTACATTTATCAGACATCTAACCTGTTGCAGTAAATGAAAATATCCAAGAAGAATGCTGAAATAATATTATATACATTATAAATCGTCAAAAAAAGTATTTTGTCGTACATTTAACAGAGATAATTTTGCGGAATAGTATTATGATATGTATAATGTATCTATATAGTCACTACATTGAATGTAGGCGGTGTATTATCTCTATGACTATAAATTGAATATTCATAATTTGGTATGAATCAAATATAGGAAAAGAAAATGCTGAATGTACATGCATATACAATTTAAATGAATTCGTAAACTGCAAGGACGGTACATCTATAATTTAGATTTCACTGAAAAAAAAACCGTTAAGTATATATGTATTTTAAATTGTTTGATTAAATAGAGATATTCGTTTTGGTTTAGTAGGTACAAATATTTTATTAGCCGTCGAAATATAATATATAGTTTTGCAAATTATTTGTATACTATTATAATAATGTACCTATACATATTATATAGTGGACTCGGTCCATTATTTAAATCAGTTGGTCTTTAAGAGTGTTTTGGGTAAAATGTATAAACACAGCCCGTGCACGAGAAATGACCTGTGACTGACTGGTGTGAAAAATGACGGAATATTTATGTTTGTCTGTCTGGTAGTGTCACAGTGAATAGAAATCGCCACACTCCATCGATTTCCTTCAAACAATAAACGACTACTTATATACATTGCAGAGTATACTTTTGTTTTATGTTACGTGGATATGTTTTCGATTGTTAATTTTAAGTACCTATAGTACCTATAGTTTCACAAATTTCACGAAACTCACAACGCAACAAATTTTTAGGATTGAGCTGTAAAGTAGGTACGTAAAATGGTATAAATGTAAAATAAATAGATAGGTATTCCTTTTCATTCTAACAGCGATAATAAAATATACCATAAAATAATATAATATATTCTATCAACAATTTAATAGTATATAAATAGATGCGTGTATCGCATTTTTAATATAACTATTGGCATTTAGTATTCAATTTAACTTAATTATAGGTAGGTAACTATGTATTTTAACAGCTATTATGTTTCTTGTGGTGAAGTGAACAACTAGGATTATTTGAAAATGTACCAAAAGTTGCGTAGAAAAACTAGTCAATTAATTTTTTTTGTCATTGGCAATATTATTTTTTTCAATAAATCTGAACTTACTGGACATTTGGAAAAAATACAATTGTTTCTAAAATACTGGTAAAATCTATGTCATAGATAAACCCATTATATAATTTCTATGCATTTTATTGATAAAACAATAAATTAGTTAAAAAAAAAAAATATATCTAAAAACGTTAAATATATAGGTATATTATATATATACATAAAAAATGTAGGGCTTTAGATTTATTAAAAAAAATTAATTGTTCATAATAAAAACATTTTGTGGGTTAACCCCCCCCCCCCTTCTTAAGAAGATTTGTTTACATAACTTTAGGTTTATTTTCATATGCCACTGGCTGGTAACTTTGGCTATGGATACATTGTATATACTTATAGGTAGGTACCTACATAAAATATCTTATTGTATTTTATAATATTATAATATGTTGTTAAATATAAAATATGGCGAAATATAATCAACTTTACAATGACATATTATAGTAATTACATGAATTATATTTTTTTTAGTTATAACTGATATAATCAATCTGTATGTGTTTTAAAAAATACAGCTTATTATATCAAAAACAGGTTGGTTTTAATCATGTTCACCCAATTGTAGGACTGTTGGCTATTGCACTTAAGTATACATTTTATTTCACTACCTATATCCTACTTTACCTAATAGCTGTTTACATATTGTTTTTGAAAAT